GAGCGTAATTGCAAAATCTTTTTTCCCTACAAAAATTTACCATTTTGAATATGTTTTAAGATTCTGGTTGCGAAGAGAAAACTGTGTATATTAAGAAAAGAGGGCAAAATATAAGCCCCACCCACCCGCTCTATCTCAATTGTAATGCATTTTTTATTCATAGTGAATCGGGGGGCGGAGCTTAATTGCAAAATTCTTATTTCTCTGTAAAAAATTACCATGTGAAATATGTTTTTAACATATTTAACATAACTGTGGTTAATAAAATTGTAGTTATTATATTTTAAGAAAAAAGCCAAAGATTATATCCCACCTATATCCGCCCAAGTTTCAATTGTGATTAATTTTTTATTCGTTGTCAGATCCAGAGGCGGAGCTTAATTGCAAAATTCGCATTTCCCTATAAAAATATACCATTTTGAAGTTTTTTTTTTTGTGAAAATAAAGCGACGTATATTAAGGAAGAAAAGCAAAATATACGACTGCGACTACAAAACTTCAGGAAATCGAATGGCAAAAACCGAAATATGTTCTCTTTGTCCATTCAAAAGTTATAGACCGTGAAACTCAGAATTTGGTTTTTGAATTTTGTTTAAAGAACGATTTCGCTTAAAATGGTGAAAATTTACAACAACTGATGCCAAAAACGCACTAAATTGGGCAAAATTTATCTACAAATTTAATTTAAGGCAGATTGAAACACGTTCATTTTTTGCTTTTTTTTTTCGCGATATTCTGGTCAAAGTATTAAGCTTTCTCGATTAAACGTATTCCGATTTGTCTGAAAATGACTCCTTTGTGTAATTCGAACATCCTGAATCAGAATCTCAGCCCCAAAAAAGAGCTCTTGATTTTTTTGAATTTTTAACATTCGAGTTTCTCGAAAATGACACCGTCCGATAAATATGTGCGGTAGATGCTAAAGTGGTAAGAATTTCGGCCTGAAAATTGCCGGTGAGAGTCCACCGATTTTATGTAGAAATTGCTCATTATTCAAATAATTGATTTAAAAGTAATAATTGTCCCGGCGCATCCACCATTTTTACACAAACATTTAAAATTGTTTCAAATAATTTAGTAAACACCAAACTCAATTAAAATTCATGGTGTTCTTTAAATATAGTAACCTTAAGTACTGTTTGAAAATTTGTAAGCAAAATACACTAAACTGAAAACTACACAGTCGAATTTTAAATCCACAAGTCGTATTCGTTTCAATAAAACTTCGTTAAATCAGAGTGCCACGTTTGTATGCAGCACGGCACAAATAAATGTTTAGTATTTTCTATCTGCAATAAAATCGTAACGGCTGTTGAAAACTGAAATTTACGTGCTGTATATTTTCCATAAAACAAGACGAACTGAAACTTGACAATAAAAACTTTAGTGCCGAAATAAAGATAATGAAATTTATGGACTGACCCTAATCGAAGTTTATTAAACGACCCTGGCGCATATTTGCCTCAAGATCGTGCAGCTGGAGATTCTTCGCCTAAAATATATCCCGTAATTAAACCTGAAACGGCTCCAGTTAACACTATTTCTGAAAATAATCCGGAACGAAGCAAACTTTGTAGTTTTTGTATTCCGAACACACACACAGAAACGCTGTGTGAATTAAGTTTTCTTTCGTTAAACGTAAATCACAAACTTTAGCGTTTCACACAAAAAATTGAATTGCATTTGCGTAGACGTTGTTGACACAGCTATGAATTTCGTTTCCCACCTCAATAAAATTTTATTACGCTGCATTCTCCCCTAATGGAAACTAAAGTAGAGAAGTTCCACTCACTCCGAAGTGCAACGAAATGATTGATTCGTCTAACGAACCGTAAAACTAGAAAATGTCTCGGAAGCCCGACCGCAATTATTTATCTCTTAGTGAAAAGCGCCAAATTGAAGCATGAAAATTTCGCTCCGAGACGTTGTCAAGACAATTTTTGCGCCGATTTCGAGTGGAATTACATTAGGTTGTGCTGGGTCAGCGGCGGTTTCGTTGGGAATAATTTACTGCTGCTTTGTAACCGCTGTAATTGAACTCGGATTGCTTAGTTGTTGGTGAGGATTTTCGCAGGTGGAAGGAGATGTTGACGGTTGAAGGTTTTATTTTGTCTGCAGAGGGTTTTTAAAATTTATTCGAGTCGATGGCAAAAAGGGTAATGGAAAAGTTTAATATTGTTGTTGTTTGATCGCGGTCGTGGATCTGTTCCTACCTGTGGGAAATAAGAAGATGCGTTGTTAGTGAGGACAATAACATTGTGGATGCGGTTTCTGGGCTGATACATCGAAATTACGTTTTCCAAGTACGCGAACTTGTGTTGCAAAATTGCTTTAGAACGAAGGCGAACGGAGACTTAGTTAGAGGGAATAATGGAATCGGGAGGTAGTGAATAACTAAAGAATGGGTTTTATTTGTTTCGAAATACTGAAACACATTGCGCAGCGAATAATTTTAACAGTTTCACAATTTTACAATTATCCAAAATCCACTTTTCTTCTCACTTCCAAATTTTGATATCTTAACTATGTAAAAATCCAAAGTTCTTGTGATGAAGTGCAACTTGTTTAGAACGTTCTGACAGAGATTATTTGACAAAGTGGAATAATTGATTCCTCACCTCGATTTGTCAAATCAAATTGTAGAAAAACCTTTGATATAAATATTTTTAAAATTTTTTAATGTTGAAGTCTTTCGAAAATGGTAGATTCTAAACAGGTACATATTTCGACCTGAAAACTAACCAATGGGACTATAAAACTCCAATAAATTGAATGGTACAAACTGGGATCTACTCTCATCGTCCGTTCAAAAGTTATGAACCGTCAACTCACAATTTCGTTTTTTGAATTTTGATTAAAGAAAGATTTTCTTTCAAATAGTGAAAATGTTTAATAATCGATATCCGAAACGCAGTCAGCTCGACTACATTAGTCTAGAAACTTAGTTTCAGGCAGATTGAAACATGTTTATTTTTTGGAAAATTTTTACGGGGATATTCCTGTCGAAATTTTCGAAATTAGGCCATGTCAAACTATCTCGATTAAACGTATCTCGATTTGTCTGGAAATTACTCATAAGAAAAATAAGCAAAATATATGCCCCGCCCACCCACCCTATCTCAGTCGTGATGATTTTTTTTATTCGTTGTGAGCCGGGAGGCGGAGCTTAATTTCAAAGTCCTCATTTCTCTACATAAAATTGATATGTGAAAAAAAACTATATATACTAAGAAAAAACACCCGCCACCATCTCAGTTGTGTTGAATTTTTCATTCGTAATCAGACAGAGGGGCGGAGTTTATTGCAAAATCCATATTCCTCTAGAAAATTTGACCCTTTTTAAAAAATATTTCAAATTGGTAATTTCTTGTAGAGAAATGAGGATTTTTCAACTAAGCTCCGCCCCTCGGCTCACGGTGCATAAGAAATCCATCACAATTGAGAGAGGGTGGGTGGGTGGGGCTTAAATTTTGTCCATTTTTTTCTTAATATACATAGTTTTCTTTTCCTTACAAGAAACCAAAAACATGTTTAGTTACCGTGTTAACGTTCCTCAATTGTGATTCATTCATTGTTAGACCAAGGGACGAAGCGTAATTACAAAATCCATATTTCCCTACAAAAATTTGCTATTTTGAACATGTTTTAAGTTTCTTCTTGTGAAAAGAAAGCTACTTATGTTAAAAAAGAAGCAAAATATAAGCCCCGCCCACCCACCCGATCTCAATTGTAACGAATTTTTCATTCGTTGTTAGGCCGAGGGGTGGAGGTTATGAAAAATTCATATTTCCCCACCGAAATTTATAATTTTGAATATGTTTTAAGTTTTTTGTTGTGAGAAGAAGACTACGTATATTGAGAAATAAGGGGTAAAATATAAGCCTCGCCCACCCACCCTTTCTCAATTGTGATGATTTTTTTATTCATCATGAGTCGAGGGGCGGAGCTTAGGTCCAAAATTCTGTGAAATAAGTTTTTAAAAGAGTAAAATTTACCCTTTTAACAACATATTTCACAAGGTAATTTCCTGTAGAGACATTAGAATTTTGCAACTGAGCTCCCCCTCTCGACTCACGATGAATACAAAATTCATCACAATTGAGAGTGGGTGGGTGGGCGGGGCTTATATTTTGTCCATTTTTTCTTAATATACACAGTTTTCTTTTCCCAACAAGAAGCTGAAAACATGTTTAACTATCGTGTTATTGAAAAACGACTATATATTAAGCAAAAAAAAAAAAGTACAAAAAACGAAGGTTAAGCATGATCCATCCGGCTCGATCTCAGTTATGATGAATTTTTCATTCATTGTCAGGGGTGTAATTGCAAAATCTATATTATAATTTGTTGTAGAAAAATACAAGCTTTGCAATTAAGCCCCGCCCTCCGACTGACGACAAATAAACGAATCATCACGTCTGAGACAGGGCGGGTGGGTGGGGCCTATATTTTGTCCATTTTTCTTAATATACGTAACCTTCTTTTCGCAACAAGAAAATGAAAATATGTTTAACGGTCGTGTGGTTCAAAGAAATTATGATGAATTTGTCATTTGTTGTCAGACTGGGGGCGGGGCGTAATTGCAAAATCCATATTTCCCTAGAACAATTTACCATTTTGAGCATGTTATAAGTTTCTGGTTGTAAAAAGAAGCCTACGTATATTAAGAAAAAAAAAGGACAAAAAATAAGAGACTAGGTAATTTAAGAAAAAAAAAAAAGGGTAACATGTGTGTCAAAAATTCACACCACGACGTTGGATTATTGAAATGTAAGTTCTGATGAACTTTCAAGTGCCGAAGAAGAAGGCAGTGATTAGTAATAGGAATTTCTATGTATATATTTATGTAGACGTGGGAAAAAAACAGATAAGGAAACATACGGAAAAACCAATGACCTAAACAAGCTTGACCTTTTCGATAATTATATTTAAGAGATAACAAATGTCACATTTACGCAAATTATGGATAATTGTCAAGTATATATATATTTGTAGCCGAATACGGACGACGTACTTCGTCAAAATGCGCTCCGTCATAAAAATTATTTTTTTGTATATGTTGGGTAAGCCACTTACGAAAAAGTAATAGGATTTTAAAATTTTGTATTTTCATTCAATTAACGATTTCTTTACCAGTTGTACCCTTCCACCGTATCCTGAGTTTGGTCGATGGACCATTCACGACGACGGTTCTTCTAAATTATCTCCTGGACAACAGGTGCCGCCACGGACAACCCTAAATGTAACTTGTGAGGAAAATTACAGGCTGGATACCCCTGATGTATCTTCCACATGCATTCGTGGAAACTGGACACCCAAAATCGGGAAATGTTTAAGTACCATTTGAAATTAACCCCTATTTTCTTTTACTTAGAAACGTTTTAGGAACTTGTAGTACTCTACATGGTACTTCTCGTATGACAGTTACTTGTACCTTTGGTGGTACCACACTAGATTTTTGCGCTAACGCAGTCGACGGGACACTGGCACAGTTTCAGTGCTCTCATTTTTATGAAATCAGAGTGGAAAAAGAACAGTTCAGAGTGTGTTCTAACGGGAGTTGGTCTGGTACAATGCCCACCTGCGTCCCCGGTATACGTTTTTCTTAACATAACTAACTTTTTCACTTTTTTTGTTGTGTGTTTAGTATGCGGTAAACCCTACAATGACCGCACTCTAATCGTGAGAGGCAACAGAACGAAGAAAGGGGATTATCCCTGGCAAGTTGCTTTATACAGAGCAACCACTAAAAAATTCCTCTGTGGAGGAACTCTTCTAAACGAACGAGTTATCTTAACAGGTAAGTTTGAACACTCAGACTAGTCACTAAACGAACTGATAAAATTTCAGCCGCACATTGTGTAACCGACAGTCAGGGTAAGTTGCACCCAGAACGAGCCTATGTGGTGGCAGTGGGAAAATATTATCGACAATATGATAATCCTGACGACAAAAAAGCCCAGTTTTGTTCGGTACTACTTACTTTGTGGTAGAGCGTGGCGTTGGTTAAATTTTTGTTTTCAGGTGCATAAGATGTTTGTTCCGAGACAGTACAAAGCGTCTCTCCAAAATTATCGAGCCGATATCGCTCTTATTGTAACAAGTAATGCTTTCACTCTTTCGATGAACGTTCAGCCTGTGTGTGTTGCATGGAAAACGAGGGTCCACGAAGTGCTAACAGACCCCAATAGAACGAAAGAGGCTTACATCAGTGGTTGGGGTTTCACCGAGGAATATAAAACTCTTTCGTCGGTTCTTAGACATTTAAAGGTGCCGCTTATTGCAGAGGAAGATTGTTCCAAGAGACTATCTGGAGGAGATTTAGAATATTTGACAGACGATAAGATGTGTGCAGGATTTATAAATTCTAGTAGATATTTTTATCCGTCATGAATTCGTGACGAAAGTACTATTTGTAGGTAGTTCGGTGTGCAAAGGTGATAGTGGCGGCGGACTGGTTGCTTTGTACGAAAATCGGTACCACGTCATTGGAATCGCAAGTATTTCTCCCAAAGGAGACACCCAACATGGAGGTTGCGACAGTCAACACTACACTCTGTACACAAAATTTTCCGACTATATTGACAAGTTCATACACGAACTAGAAGCACAGTTTAGACCGTGAGTACCCAAATTTGAAAAGACTCGTGAGACAATTTCTATTTTAGAAGTGCGGACCGCAAGATACACAACAGTTGTGCCATTACTGTTTCAAACGATACGTCTTCATCAACAAAAGTACCGTTCGTCGTTTCGGCCACTAGATTTTCCAACAACCGTTGCATATTGCCGCACCACCCCCAGTTCGGTAAATGGACCGACCTTTTTGGGTTTTCCGAACTACAACCCGGACTATCAGTACCATCGGGTACCACCGTGAGAATTAAATGTAACAGGAACTTCACAGTAGAGGGTTACAATCAACTAACTTGTGAAAATGGTGCATGGTCAAAAAACATCGGGCGATGCTTGAGTAACAATTTCGGGCTAACGTTTCCGAAACCCTCACTAGTTTTATTTTTGCAGGACTCTGTCCCTCTTTGTTTAGCACTCCGGCAATGAAAGTAATTTGCTCTGATAGTGACAATATAGTCGAAAATTGTACACAGGCCGTCGAAGGTACTATTGCCAGATTCCAGTGCGCTCCGTTTTATAAAGACCCGCGACTAGAAAAAGGAGCGTTGCGAATTTGCACTAATGGTACCTGGAATCAAGAACTGCCGCAGTGTCGACCGGGTAAACGTTGCCACTGTAACGGCAAATGTTACCAAAAATGTGGTTTCAGAGTGCGGGCAAGTGTTAGCTCCAAGTACCAACTCGTCTGATAACGGAACCACGATACCAAGAGGATATCCATGGCACGTCGCTATATATCGCAGTTCCAACCTGAAGCGATTTATTTGTAGTGGGTCGCTTCTAAGCGAAAGGATTGTGTTAACAGGTAAGAGAAAATGTTCTTAAAAAGTCACAAAAGAGTACTTCTAGCTAGAAATTGTGTGAGTTTGGGTGGAAGTCCATATTTGAACGAAAGTTTCATTCTGGCGGTTGCGAAGATGTACAACAGTTTTGATGACCCCAGAGAAATGCATGCCCAATTTTCTGAGGTCTGAGGTACGCTTCGCCTAACTAATAATAAAAAAGGGTACCATTTTAGGCGGGAGCGATATTTTTGCCATCACACTTTAGAGGACAGAACAACACTGCGATTTTAATTGCAAAGAAGGCTTTCGTGCTTTCTTCTCACGTACTACCTGTTTGTTTAAATTTTGGAACGAGTTACAAATTGTCGGATAATGAAGAAGTCTATGTAAGACCGAGGGTTTAATCCTGTGAATAAATTGTAATTATTTCTGACAGTACAGGAACTGGACGACTAAAGAGTACGTGTTTTCTGAGGTGGCAGAGGGCAATCAAATTTCTTTAATCCCTCTGTCAAACTGTCGAGGTAATACATCAGGGTCTTATGCAAGCGATCTAGAGTCAGGCCAATTGTGTGCTCGTTCTTTGACTAAAGGTTCTTAATTAGCTTTCTATTGACTGAATAAGTACATTTTTTTCTCAGGAACAAAATCTTTCTTAGACGTCGGAAAGGGTGTAGTACGAAAACATGACGACAAGTACTATCTCGTGGGTGTGATAACTGGGCCAGCGTTAGGACCTAAAGTTGCTACAGAAATTATAGAAGATTATTTAGTTTCAGTTTACAAGGATATTTCAAAGCAGTTAGACTTGTTAATTTTACGTACACAGGAGTAATACAGTTGCAAATTAAAAACAATGGTCGAAAGCCATTTCGATAGAACTTTCCTCATTCTTTTTTTTGTGACACCCTGTATAAGTAATTCTAAAAACTATGAGTGCATCGATAAAATGCAAGCATACGGTTAAAATATTTTGCATTTTTCAGAGGAGATTTATTGAGCAAAGTTTCAAGGAGGCCTCGGATCACTCTAATTTAATGATTAAACTAACGCTTTGTAGTTTATTTTGGATGTAATAATACAATTTATTATCTATGCTATAAATAATCGTTGTATATATGTCACAATTACCCTTGACCTTTTCTAAAATTATAATATCTGGAGATAAAAGATATTATACTCTCGCACGGTTAATGGTAAAAAATACTTGGTGAGAATGCAGCTTATAATAAAAATTCTTATTTTATATATTTCGGGTAAGTGATTTTGGGCAGAAATAAACCACATTTTTCAACATCAGAACTAAACTTTTTCTCTTTTTTTAGTAAACGTCTTTGACTGTATCCATTATTCGGGTAACAGTAGCTACAAAAGAGCATCAAAGCGTAGTCGTAGCCCTTTGTAAGTTTATTGCAAAAGATCTGTGTTCACCTTCAATGACTAAATTCTTAACTATATAGGTGTATTCTTCCACGACATCCGACATTTGGAAAGTGGAGGATTTATGACAATGCTTCTAAATTGTCTCCTGGAGGAAAAGTATCATCACGAACGGTTTTGGAATTGACTTGTAAAAAAAGTTACGTATATAAAAATTCTGAGCCGTTTTCTACATGTATTCATGGAAGATGGGTACCCAGAATCGGGAAATGCCTAAGTATCGTTTGTGGTTAAACTAGGTTTTTTACTTAAAAGCGTATTAGAAACTTGCAGCACAATACAAAGTACTTCTCTTATGACGGCTACTTGCACGTTTGGGTCTAGTACGCCTAGTTCTTGCGCTAATGCGATTGACGGAACAGTGGCACACTTTCAGTGCGCTCCTTTTTATGAAGTCCCTAGGGAAAAAAAACCCTACAGGCTGTGCTCTAAGGGGCATTGGGTTGGCAACGTGCCGACCTGTGTTTCCAGTATGTATGAATTGGTAGTGTATTACTTGGTTTTTTGTTTCGTGGGGGAACAATATTTTAGGATTCATTATTGCCTCTTGTCTAGAGAAAATTTTCACTAATTGATTTTGCTCTGTGTTAAGTGTGTGGTAAACCTTACAAAGATCGCACTTTAATTGTGAGAGGGTCCGAAACGAAGAAAGGGGCTTATCCCTGGCAAGCAGCTCTATACAGAAAAGTCGATAAAACATTTCTCTGTGGAGGAAGTTTACTAAACGAGAGAGTTATCTTAACAGGTAACGCTAAACACTCATAAGTAGTCATAAGATCGTTGGCTAAAATGATAAAATTTCAGCTGCACATTGTATAACAAATAATCAAGGCAAACTAAAACCCGCAAAAAACTACATCGTAGCCGTTGGAAAATATTATCGAGAATATGATCACCCTGATGACAAGAACGCACAGTTTTGTTCTGTAAAATTTTGCATTTCGATAGGACGTTGTTAGTAAAATTTTTGTTTTTAGGTACATAAGATGTTTATTCCGAGGGAGTACAAAGGATTTAGTCTGAAGTATCTCGCCGATATCGCCCTTATAGTAACAAACAACGCTTTCAGTGTTTCTGTAAACGTACAGCCTGTGTGTACTGTATGGCAAGAGAACATCCACCAAATATTGACCGACCCTAACAGAACGAAAGAGGCTTATGTACCTTAGTAGATTTGATTTAGTTTCGAGATTTTCATTCGTGTTTTTGTAGGTGAGCGGTTGGGGTTATACTACGGAATATAAAAATCTTTCCTCAGTTCTTAAACATTTAAAAGTTCCTCTTGTTGCCGGTGAAGAATGTTCACAGACATTAACTTCAGAAGAAGTAGAATATTTGACCCACGATAAGATATGTGCTGGCTATATAAATTCTAGTAGATATTTTTGTCTATGATGAATTCGTGGTAAAAGTACTATTTGTAGGCAGTTCGGTGTGCAACGGTGACAGTGGCGGCGGATTGGTTACTTTATACGAAAATCGTTATCACGTCATTGGAGTTGTAAGTATTTCTCCGAGAGGAACCACCGAACATGGCGGTTGCGACAGCCAACAGTACACCCTGTATACCAAATTTTCTGAATACATGGAAAACTTCATATACAAACGAGAGGCAAAATTTAGATCGTGAGTTCATAAAAGACATTTATTTCTAAAATTCCGAAAATCGCCATATACATTTCTCTTTTAGAAGTGCGGACACCAAGATAGACGGCAATTGTTCCGCTACAGTTGCAAACATCAGACGTCCTCGGTAAAGTAATTCAAACATAACAAAAAAAAGCCTTTACTCTTGTATTCTACGCAGCAAATGCGTTTTGCCACAGCATTCACGGTCGGGAAAATGGAACACATCCTTTGAACACCAGCCTGGACAATCTGTAGCGTCGGGTACTACCATAAAAGTAATATGTGGCAACAGATTTAAACTAACTAGAGAAAGCAAAATAACTTGTGTAAATGGAACTTAGTCACACAACATGGGTCTATGTTTGAGTAGGTATCCGGCGCTCTTACAATATGCCTTTAACCCTTAACTTGGCAAAACCAGAAGAGGTATTAAAAAATTTTTCTTTCTGCATTTTTGCACATGTATGGAAGCCACAAAGTAAAAAAATCGTTCAGACTAATTTTAAACACAATCGTTTTTTGTTTTTAACTATGTATCTCAGAAGATAGATACATTGTCAGATTCTAAAAACACAGCTTAAATTATTCGCGGCTACAACCACAATTTTAAGTAATCTTGATAACTATTATTATTATTAAAGTTTCTCCTAGATTTTTATGTTGACCTGATCTAAATACATTAAAATTGTATGTATTAAAATCGCACTAAATTTGTACATCTTGGTCATCTAGGTTCTATTCGTGTTAAAATTTGCTGTTTATACCTTACATTAAAATTTCATAGTAAATCGAATTATTTATAAAGTTTTCATAACATTAAAATTGAGATTTTTGGTTTTTATCACATCAGATTTCGAAAACTATTCAAAATTTTGTCTTAGTTTTTTAACTGTAACAATAATAATAATAATAAACGTCTTTATTTCAGATACATATACAGTACCTCTCGGAGGCGAAGTTTAGCTTATAGCTATTCTTACACTTACCCTCTGACAAAAATAACCTACAATTTACACTACACAAATATAAGAGTAATTCTAAGAAATGAGACAATTATTATAAGAGAAAAGGAAAATGATGAGATAAAAACAACTATAAATTTAAAGAAGCTTACATGAAAAACAACCACAAAATTCATTAATAAGAGTATAAGATAATCTAATAAGTAACCTAATAGTTTACGAATTCTGTTTTTTTTTTCTTTTTAAATAAGTTGGAAAATATATATTTCTTTAATCGGGCAATTGAAAGATTGTTAATGTTACGGTCTACAGCATTATATATCATTATATATATATATATATATAACAGCATTGTAAATAATTAAAACAGCGTTTAAATTTTTTATATAAAGCGAGAACATAAATTTTGGATCTTCTGCAGTTTACTTTTATGTATGGAATACAAACAAGGGTGATAAACAGTAATGACGTAAAATAAAACCGAGAAAAATTAATGATTCCGTCAATTTTTTTTTTAAATTTTGAAGTTTAGGAGAAACCTGGAAGCATATAATATTTTACCCTTAAGTAGACCGATTTAAGTAAGCAAGAAATATGTGACTTAAAATGTAAATCATAATCAAAGTGAAATGCCTAATATTCGAGTCCAATTTAAGAGGTTACCAATAAGTTTGACTGTTACTACATTTTTGATCCTTTATTTGAATTACTACGTAGTATCTTTTTTTGAATTTGTTTTGAATCTGTCTTAATCAGGCTTGTGGGAACTGTAACTATATTAGGTGAAAAGTTAGTGACATTGTTTTTAATAATTAAAGTATTTTTAGTCGCAAATACTTCATCAATATTTACCATTCTATCTGCTGTTGGTGTTGGCGGAGTACTTTTTGACTTTACAAAAATTGTTCGTTGTTCAGTTTCTTCTAAATTATTTGCAGTATACATATTATCATTAACATATAACTTATTTCCTTTAATATAAGCATTCAGTTTCTCTTGTTTAGCCAAACTAAGATGGGCTCTTAAAATTTTGTATTCTTTAATTTCATTCGTGGTTAAATCGTTATTTATATAAATCCTCGAGCTTTTCAAATTTTTGCGAGCTTGGAGTACTTCATATCTTTTAATACGCGAGATAAATTCAATAATTACCGGTCTTTTGGTTTGGTTTTTTCCTATTAAGTAATCATTATTTATATCAGAAATGCCACTTTGAATGTGTAGAAACTCCTTTAATTTCTCACATACAGAGGATGCTAGTTCCGGTGAGGGTAAGCGTTTATTTGTTACTTCCAATCCAGAGATGATAACATTGTTTTTTTTTGTTTGCTTTTTCTAGATACTAAATTTTATTTTTTCAGTACTCGTTTTCTCTTAATAACAGCTGACTTACGTTGGACAATATACTAGATTTCAGCCTGATCAATTTTGTGATTTAGATCCTCACGTAATTTACGAATTTCGTTGAGAAGGTCTGCCTTTGAAATACTCATTTCGAGGTTTTATCAGTTACTGACAAAAGAATCCGATTAATAAAAATGTATTCAGGTTTTTCACATGTGTAGGTGGGCACATGCTATCAGGTACATCTGTCCCCTATAGGCATCCGGTTGTGAAATTGTTTTTATTTATTTATTTATATATTGTGTCGCAGTAATGTGTATAATTAATTAATTACCAAAATAGTAGGAGTGCTCACACAATGCACCTGCACATCGCACACTTCTGTGTATCGCACACACAAAAACGAAGCAAGCACTAGGAAAAAACGTAATGTAACCGAACACTACTGATTCTTACAGTGTAACCTTTTGCTACTTGCACAAACGGTGTATTGAAATTTTTAAAATGCGATTTTTTTATTACTGAAGATTTTAAGGCAATCAGTGGCAAAGATGTATAATTTTGAAATAATTTTTGTGATGAAGAAGTATTTGATAACTGTCTCTGTCTTTGAGCTGAAAATTTTTAAACTCGAGCGATAACTGTGACGCAACACATTAACTGAGACACTTTTAAAAGATAACAGCCAGATGTTGGGATTCTGAGAATCGCTTGGGTTACCATCTATCCAGCACTTTTAGATAACACTATTATCCTAAAATTTTTTAAACTTAACATTCAAGGAAATAAACAATGAGTTAATTTTATAAAAGCATGTACTGACATTTTCGGAAAGTTGAACAATACTCTAAACATTTAAGTAAAATTAATAAAAAAATATGTTTTAAATGAAACCTACATAAAACATTGGTATGAATGATTTTAAAAACGAAATGTTACAAATTAAGAACAAAAAAAAATCAGTTTTATGTATCTCATAAGATACATTGTCAATTTGAGGGTTTTAAAGTCGTGTTCAATGTTTACAGCATGGATATTGCGGAGACAGATTTTTCAACAATTGTGGATGCGGATGCGGATGCGGGTTTTTGGAAGAGCACATTCGCGGAAGCGGATACGGGTTTTTGGAGGACATCTGGGGAAGCGGATGCACATTTTTAGAGGCTCACATCCGCGGATGCGGATATAGATCCCACATTTTTTTTAAGAAACTTCGTATGGGTACAGAAATCAGTTAAAACAATGCGAGTTTTTTAATTTTTATTTAATAAACAAATTTTTAGTACGAAAATTTAAAAATTGTTGAATTATATGTATTTAATAAAAATAATATTACCGCATTTTTAGGTTCAAGCCTATTTCGCAGAGGTTAATAAATTAATCCTGCGCTACTAAATAACTGTTCACTAGGAACACTAGCTGGTGGAGGCGATAAAAATCTGCGTGCTATTCCAGATAAAATTTTTAACTCGCTACGATTAACGCTCCACTATTTAAGTGGATTTTCACTTATAATCAGCCTTGTTTTATTGCTATACGAGAGCAATTCCTTCTTGAGGATAGCATCAGGGCAACCATTTTCTGATATTTCTTGACTCTCATCTTCACTTGACATCATGGCAAGATCGCTTTTTAAGCATGGCTTTCTGGCTTTACCGGACGTTCCAGGGTGTTCCTCTTTCACGAGGGAATCTCCCATTCTCATTTTTTTGCTGCTTTGAAATTTGGAGATATTTGAGAGTTCGAGACGTCATTCTCAATGTTTGTCCTGATCTTCAAAATATCGTCTTTAATCTTTTCCTCGGTCACTGGTGTGTAAAAAACTTGTGTTTATAGCGAGGGTCTAAGTAAGGTAGGTGGCTATGATATATAAATTGTTCTCTTCCAACAAAGAAAATTTTGCTGAAACCTCAGTTTGCAGAGTCGTGACAGCCATCCGAACTGGATCAGAATCCTGTGATCTTGTTAAATAGTCATCAAGTTTTTTTGCAAACATTTTAATTAATGGAATCACAGCTGATATAAGTGTATGAGAGATACTTGGTTCCCGTGTGGGTTCTTCAAAAGGTGTCAATAGCTCTATACAACATTTTACAATAATTTTCCACTCTTCTGGTAAAATAGGGTCAATTTCACTGTCATTGATGTAAAGACTTAATGCATCTTTTACCTTTAAAAAACGCCCAAACATGTAAAACGTACTGTTCCATCGCGTTACACAATCTTGGAACACTCAGATTGGTTGATTCCGTCTGTCCTGAATTTTTTTGTAGTTGTTTTTGGGCAAGCGTGGAATGGTTAAAATACCGAGTTGCATCTTGTGAACTGCACAATCCAAATCTTTGAATACTGCTAATCGCATAGCTCTTTTCATATTGGAGGCTTCGTCTCGAATAATGCAATGCACTTGTTCTTTCGAAATATTTCATTCAGTAAGCATCGTATGGTACACAAATCGAGAAATTATAATTGTTTTTTACCTTACATTTATGCGACGCAAATATGTAAGTAATTTGTTTTGAACTTTCTCAAGTTTTAAAATATTACACACTCCTGTTACCAATGAGAAATTCTATTTAGATATTTTCTATAGACGTCATAGTAACAAAAAACAGATAAGAGGGACCTTTCCGATAACTATTTTGTGTAGATAATGACTGTCGCTTCTATGCAAATTATGTACCATTATCTTTGTAGCGCAATGCAGTTTATTACAAAAATTATAATTTTTTACGTGTTGGGTGAGTTATTTTGTGAAGAAATAAACCATACGTTCGTAACACCAAAATTGCATTCTTACGTTTGTAGTAGACGCATTTGAGTGCATTCAGGATTCAGGCAACAGGAAGTACAAACGAGCGACAAGTCAGAATCGCCACAGCAAGTAAATTCACGCTAAAAATCTATGTTTACATTGAATTAACGACTTTTCGACCAGGTGTATCCTTCCATCGCATCCTGAATTTGGTCGATGGAACATTTATGACGACGATTCTTCTGAGTTGTCTCCTGGACAAAGAGTACCACCACGAACAGTTCTGGAAATAACTTGTCAAGAAAATTACACGCTAGATAGCTCCGACGAGTTTTACACATGCATTCGAGGAAAATGGACACCCAGAATCGGGAAATGTTTAAGTAACTTTGATTTTATCAATTTAGTGTTTCTTTTTATGCGAAAATTCTAGGAACATGTAGTACATTACACAGTACTGCGCTTATGAGAGTAAATTGCAAACTTGGAGGCAATACGCTAGATTCGTGTGGTAGTGTGGTCGACGGAACGGTCGCACAATTTCAGTGCGCTCCCTTCTATGAGGTCCCGAGGGAGAGGGAACCATACCGGTTGTGTTCGAACGGGAGTTGGGTTGGCAATTTGCCGACGTGTGTGCCAGGTATGTAGTAGTCACTGGTTCTGACAACCAGTTTAAATAATTGTAATTTTGCTTGTGTCTGTAGTGTGTGGTAAACCTTACAACGATCGCACTTTAATCGTGGGGGGCTCCGAAACGAAAAAAGGGGATTATCCCTGGCAAGTAGCTCTGTACAGAGCAACCGATAAAGAACTGCTGTGTGGAGGAAGTTTACTAAATCAAAGAGTTATCGTAACGGGTTAGTAAATACTCAACCCAGGTGGTTGGCTTCAAGTATGATTTTCAGCGGCACATTGTATAACAGACGATGAAGGCAATCTGCAACCAGAACAAAAGTACATAGTGGCAGCGGGAAAATATCATCGGAAATATAATCACTCTAAAGACAAAGACGCACAATTTTGTTCTGTACAATTTTACTTTCGAAACAACATGTGGGTAAAATTTGTACTTTTAGGTGCACAAGATGTTTATTCCCAGACAGTACAAAGCATCTCTTCAGAATTACCGCGCCGATATCGCCCTAATAGTAACAAAAAACCCGTTCACTCTCTCCGAAAACGTGCAACCTGTGTGTGTTGTATGGCAAGAGAGCATCCACGAAACGTTGACAGACCCTGACAGAACGAAAGACGCTTACGTTGGTAAATTTGCTTTGGTTGCGAGATTTTTATTGTGTTTTTGGTAGGTCAGCGGCTGGGGTTATACTGTGGAATTTAAAAAAGTTTCTCCGGTTCTTAAACACTTGAAAGTACCTCTTGTTAGTGAAGAAGAGTGCACCAAGAGATTATCTCCAGAAGATTTAGAGTTTTTCACCGACGACAAGATATGTGCTGGCTATATAAATTCGAGTAGATATTTTTGTCGTTCCGAATTCGTGACTAAAGTGAAGTTTGTAGGTAGTTCGGCATGTAAAGGTGACAGTGGAGGTGGTCTGGTTACTTTGTACGAGAATCGTTACCATATTATCGGAATAGTAAGTATTTCTCCGAGAGGGAGTACCGCACATGGTGGTTGCGACAGTCAACATTTCACTCTCTACACAAAATTTTCCGAATATATTGATAAGTTTATATACGAACAAGAGGCACGATTTAGACCGTGAGTTCCCAAAAGTTTGGAAACTCGTCATACAATTTCTGTTTTAGAAACGCGGACTACAAGGTAGATGATAGTTGTTCCATTACAGTGACAAATGGTACACCTCCAACGATAACACCTGAAAAAATTCAGATTTCACCCTTCTATCCTAAAAGTAGTCACTGCGTTTTGCCGCTGCACCCACGGTTTGGAAAATGGATCATCCCCTTTGGATTCGATGAACATCAAACCAGATCATCAGTACCGTCGGGTACTACTTTGGAAATAGAATGTGACAGCAATTTTACGCTAATTGGCCCAAACGAACTAACTTGTGAAAATGGTACTTGGTCCGACGACGTGACTCAATGCACGAGTAGGTACCACCCGAACTTATCTTACAAATTCTTGTTTTATTTTTGCAGAAATCTGTCCCTCCTTGTTTGATACACCGACTACCAAAGTAACTTGTTCTTACAACAACGCCGTAATTGAAGACTGTACACAAGCCGTCGAAGGTACCATTGCCAAATTCCGATGTTCTCCATTCTATGAAAACCCGCAACTAGAAAACAGACCTTTCCGAATTTGTACTAGTGGTACTTGGGATGAAGAACAGCCTTATTGTCAAGCGGGTAAACGTTGCAACTACAACTGACACATTTTAGTAATGATGGTTACAGTTTGCGGTAAACTGCCAATTTCAAGCACGAATTCGACTCTCGATGAGGTACTAATGCCAAGAAATTATCCTTGGCAGGTGGCTTTATTCGCTAAATATACAGCAGATCATTTTTTTGCCAGTGGAACACTTTTAAGTCGAAATATTGTTTTAACTGGTAAGATTAAATTTTCGTTGTATTTTAAAAACTTGTACTTGTAGCTGCACATGTTATTACGGACGCCGATGGCCAACCATATCCTGCGAGAGATTTAACTCTGGCTGCTGGCATGATGTACACGTTATTAAATGACAGCAGAGAAACTTATGCCCAATATTCAAAGGTAGTGGTCACTATCGACGAATAACAACCAAGTGAGTGTTATTTTAGGTTCGGGCCGTGTTTATATTCGGACAGTACAGAGGAATTGAAAATGTCCACCAGCACGATATTGCAATTTTAGTTGCAAAGGAAGCTTTCGTTCTTTCGTCGCAAGTCCTCCCTGTGTGTCTAGATGTTGGACAGAATTACAAGTATTCCGAGAATCAAGAGCTTTATGTGAGATCGGTAGTTTTACATTGTGGATAAGTTGTAATTTTTGCCCTATGTTAATAGTACGCACTTTGGGCTACCGAGAACACGACTCTTTCAAATGCAGCATGGGGCAAGAAACTTTCTTCATTGTCCTTGTCAGCTTGCCGAGATAAAACGGCTGAACGTTATAAAAGCATTTTAACGTCAGACAAATTGTGCGGACGCCTTTTGAACGAAGGTTCCACATTAGGTCTTTAATTATTGCAGAATATGCGAGAAATATTTTTTTTTTTTCAGATAACAGATATCACATACACGTCGGAAGCGGTGTAATGCAGAAACAAAGCGACAGATATTATGTTGTGGGCGTTACGTCCTGGAACGTTGATGATAAATCCTACAATTATTCAGTTATAGTTTACACGGATGTTTCACAGTATATAGATTTTATTGTGAAATATATAGCCAAATACACGTAAAATAGTCTGCGAATGATGGAAATATTACATTTTGAAAATTTATACAAAAAGTAAAGACTCCTCTGAAGTTGGAGCGTGATTAGAAATCCGACGTGCTAGTGATCATTATTTCAATAATTTCTTAAAAAACTTTAGTATTAATATCACATCAAAACTTATTTATTACATTACAGGCCAAAGAAACTTTCATTTTGTTAAAATGATTGAGATTGTTCAGATCACTTAATTTTGGTGTCATTCTTATTCGAAATTATCTTGAAATTTCACAAAAGCCTCAATGTATTTATGTTAATCTCATTGCTTGATAATGCACATTTATTAACGAATTCGTCCGGAATTATAATAATTTTGTTATTTACTAAGACATACCTAAAATTTTTTGTAAATGTGAGAAGGATCTGCCATGAAATATATATTCTTTGATTCATCAGCTGCCATATTGTGATATTTAGAATATTTAAATCCGTTTCCACCGCCGCCGATATTACACCTGTTGCGATAACCAGAGAGTGGTCATTGCAGAAAATTTTTCTAAGTTTCATATCTTATACCATACCACTCCCACTGACCGCCGATTGGTGAATAGTATCGAAATTGGTACTATTCCCAACCGGTTTATGGTCAGTGGCAGCACCACCTGGTACGACCCTACATTTTGTCTCAACTGGAAATACTGGATTCACGAGTTTATTGTCCGTCTTTCTCACGTCCTTGCTGTCGGGCACGCGCCAAGGTGGAAACTCCACTGGTGTGGTAATAGTACTAGAAGAGAAGATACGTAAGAAATAATTTGGAAAAACCCACGAGCCAAACGGTAAAACCAACTTGACCTTTCTATTGCCATTATCGCTCGAGATAAGTTGTGAACGAAAACCTAAATAAAACAACCACTTCCTGCAGAAAATTTCATGGTGGGTGCTGGTATCATGTACAGCATGTTATATTAAATGACATTAGTGAAATTTACGCTCAATATTCTAAGGTACTGCTCACTGTTGACGAACAACAACAACGAAGTATTATTTTAGGTGCAGGCCGTGTATCTACCTGAACAGTATCAAGGAAATGAGTACCACTCTGATATTGCAATTTTGGTTGTAAAGAAAACGTTTGTTTTTTCGTCGCATGTGCGGCCTATTTGTCTAGATGTCGAACAGAAATACAAGTTCTCCGAGAATCAAGAGCTTTATGTGAAATCTATAGTTCCTGTACATTCCGAATAAATTCTAATTTTTGCCGTATATACAGGGTTAGTCACGAGAGAATTACTTCTGAAAATTATTTTTACGCAACCCAAAATACGAATACCATGTACCATTTGATACTAACTGAATTTAAAATAAAATGCTTAATCCATGATTGCTTTGAGTTTGGCAGTCTCATTTTGACAATTGTGGAAAAAGAGGTTACGCGAGTGTCCATGGTGGTACCGCAGTCAGTCGGAAATCTCCTCCGGTGCCGCTAATAAATTTGTCAGTGTGCCTCTTGATCTTTTGCAACCGATTAATCACGAGAAAATTATTTCTAAAAATTCCTTTTACGACATTTTATTCAAAGGTTACAACACAAACTCAAACAAGTAAGTAAATAATTTAACTACTAATCTGTTGAAAATGTTGGGCATTTTGGGGGGATGCTACGACTTTTTTGTAAATGGATGGCCGAAGAAGTCCAGAGGTTGCAGATTTCCACTTCGAAGAGGCTCTAGGTGACGCAGAGATGGCGAATTAACACATGCACATTAGCGGCGAACAACATTAGTAGAGCACTTACGGCTTCAGTATAGCCCAGATTGATCTGACTGTATGTCGTCGATCGAATGGGGCTCTAGAGGCGAGTCAACGATGAAAACAAATGTTAAAAACTAATTAACGTCAAAGTGACACTGCCAAAGTCAAAGCAATCATGGATTAGGCATTTCATTTTAAATTTAGATAATATCAAGTGGTACAGGGTTTTAGTATTTTGGGTTGCGTAAAAATAATTTTCAGAAGTAATTCTCTCGTGACTAACCCTGTATGTTACAGCTAATATCCGAAATCCGTTATTATGCATAATAACTAGACATTTTAGGAATTATGCGTAATAACTAAACTTGTCAGTTATTATGCATAATAACCGGAAAGATTAGGAATTATGCGTAATAACTGAAATTTTCAGTTATTATGCATAATAACGGAAACGTTTAGGTAATACTGATAATAACTAACAGAGGAACAGGAATTATGCATAATATTTTCAAAAAAGCTACCCACCCTGCCTCACTTTCCGCTACATATCACATGTACAGTTGATTTAAAAAAAAAAATTGGTCCAAAGAGTTTAGACAGTACTTCCCTCGCTGTCGGAAACGTAACGACTGCACGCCTATTATGTTTTTTTCGTATTACATTTTGGTAGCGGGACATTTTAAAATAAAAATTGAGTAAGTATTAATTTTTTAAATTTTATCATTATTTGGCATTGACATCTTTGTCATTTTTTTTGTGATTCCTATGATTGCTTATTAAAAACGAAGTCGTCTCTGGGGTGTATAATATGTCGCCTATGCAAAAATTGTCAGGCGTGAACAGATAAAAGGAACATCTTGTATAGTACTTGTAATTTAAGACAAATAGCCATAACACTTATCAACATGTAGGCGTGACGGTGAAGCATAAACTAAACTAAAACATGTTTTCCACGAATTGGAATAACCGGATGACAATGCCGACGGACCAGACATTTTTATTGCTCTGATTTCCGTTTATTGAATAAAACACTACCTACATTTTATTCGGTTTTTGGATGCTGTAATTCACATTTGGTTAATTATAACTTGTCTAAATCTAGGGGAGCATCCCCTAACCTCCCCCTAGCTACGGCCTTGTCTAGGGGTTATGAAATGTCGAGAAAATTTGAAAGTAACAAATTGCCCAATGGACTCTATTATATTACTGAACGTCCTTAGGTTATCCTCGATAAGAAAAACAACTTGAAAGTGTTTATGTTTATGCATCGAAAAAATGTCACCTAGAAATAGTTTGATTTGAATGAGTTCGTCCCCTGAAAACAGAGGATTAAAACAATTAACTAGTAAGTTACAATCGACATAATTTTGGGTAGAATTTATTCGGCAAAATTTTGAGATAACGTCATCAATTTTGTGGGGGAAATAAACAGATTTATTTTGATTAATAATTTGCCAAGTATATATAGTATTTCAAAGTATTCAGTTTTGTAATTCTTGATTTAATCCATAAAATTAATTGACTTAGTCATTAATTTTTTTCAGACACCCCGTATAAGCAAATCTACAAAATATTAATGCAGTGATAAATCACAAGTATAGAGTTATCATTCTTTACACATTTAGGATAGAATTTGTTCGGTAAAATTTTAAGGTGACGTCATCAATTTTAGAAAGCAAATATATTTTGATTAAAAATCTTACCATACTTATGATAAATTTAAAACATCTCCAAGATTTCAAAATAATCGGTTTAATTAATACAATAAATTCACGCACTCATTAATTTTTTAGATTCACCCTGTATATGCAAATCCAATACAGACTCATCATATTTTGTACATTTGAAATATGATTTATTCAGCAAAATTTTCAGGAGACGTCATACATTTTTTAGGAGGGAGGAGCAAATACATTTTGACTAAAAATTTACCATGCCTATGGAAACTGTAAAACATATTCAAGATTTGAAAGCAGTCGGTATTGTAGTTCCTGATTAAATCAATAAAATAATTTCACACATTCATTAATTTTTTGAGTCACCCTGTATATGCAAATCAAAAAAATATGAATGGAATGATAAATCACAAGTACAGACTCTTCATAGTTTGTACATTTTATATAGGATTTATTTGGCAAACTTTTGAGCTGACGTCATCAATTTTTTGGAGGGGACAAGTAAATATATTTTGACTAAAAATTTACCATGCTTAAACTGTAAACCGTCTGCAAGATTTCAAAGCATTCGGTCTTGCAGATTCAAAATTTAATTGCAAAATGTTGCTTTGTAATTTTGATCTTTTTTCCAAAAATCTGGACGTTTCGGGTAAAAACTCAATTCTGAAAACTACATGTGTAGGACTCATCGCATTAGTGGTGGGCCTGATTAGACAAAATTTGGTTAGCGTTTTACCATCTACATCATATTCCTAATATAAGTACAAAATTTCACAACAATCAGTCCAGTACTTTCGGAGATTATCTGTCTAATAAAAATCCGGGGCGGCAGACAGACGGATAGACCAACAGACGGACAGACAGACGGAATCGGGAGACCTATTTCTTCGTCCTCTAGGGGTCATGAAAGATCGAGAAAACGTAAAAGTAGAGAGTCGGCCGACGGACTCGATTACAATACTTCCTTTGCTTACGCTCGGGAAGTAAAAACGGGACAAATTACAGTAACATAAACGTCATATTCCCATTGCTTTTCATTGATCTATGAGAACCTGATTTGCTCATTTTGTCCCGTTTTTTGTGAAATCACCTGGACATGTTAGGCAATATGCTTGATGACTAATATTTCAGGTATTATGCATAATTCCTGTTCCTCTGTTAGTTACTATCAATATTACCTAAACGTTCCCGATATTATGCATAATAACTGAAAGTTTCAGTTATTACGCATAATAACTGACAAGTTTAGTTATTACGCATAATTCCTAAAATGTCTAGTTATTATGCATAATAACGTATTTCGGATATTAGCTGTAACATATATATATATATATAATAGTACAAATTCTGGGCTGCAGACAACACGACTCTTTTGAATAAAGCAAGGGACAAGAAAATATCTGTAGTGTCTATATCAACTTGCCGAGCTAATTCAATACATTATATGGCCGTCATTTTGAAGAAGGTTCTCAATTAACTCGGTTCGTCCTGAATATGCAAATCAACCATATTTTTTTCAGGAGACGAATACAAAGGAATTGGTACATATTATCTTGTGGGCGTTATTTCCTCGACGTTGGACAATCAATACAAAAATTTCTCAGTCGCAGTTTACACGGATATTTCAAAGCACATGGACTTTATTGTAAAAAAAATTAAATTCATTTAGAGTATAGGAGTATTTTATGATGTTGATTATTTGCTTTCATTTTTGAAATATTACATGAATTTGGAGACTGAGGATATTTTCCACTTTATTACTTTATTACGAGGTAAACCCGTACTTTTTCAGTAATTGTTTCGTCTGGAGTGAAAATAAATATATAAAGCTTTTTCTTTAAAATTTTGTATATATACATATAGGCGATATCCATCACTTGTGATATTACAATTAATTAAACCGCAGTGCATTTAAAAAAAATTGGTCTAAAGAGTTTAGACAGTACTTCCCTCGCTGTCGGAAACTTGACGACTGCATGCCTATTGTGTTTTTTTTCTCATTACATTTTTGTAGTGGGAATTTAAAAAAAAATTGCGATGACGTCATCAACATTTTTGCAAGGACACGTATATCAGTTGGGATAGATGTAGTGTAATACTAAGAATAAAATTATTATATTCTCAAATTTTCGGGAAAATGAATTGGGTCGTTTTGAATATTGATTTGTAATAATCAATAAAATAACGAAACAATTTACTCACGTATACGTATCAGAGGCAACTGAAAATCGTGTATGTATAAACATTCTTAATTTAAGATGACAGGCGTAACAGCATACGTGAGAGTCAAACAGAGAAACTGTAAACAAAACGACCATCGGTTTTATTGCTTCGACTTCCGCTTATTATATAAAACATTGGGTTTTATTTTAATTCTTGACGGTGAAATTCACAATTGGTTGATTATAAACATGTCTATTTCACATTCGCGGAACCAAGTGAACGCATAAAACAAATGCAGGTCTGTAATGTTAAAGTCGATGTAAATAAGCGTGCTACCCTTATGTTTCAACCGAGTTTTTCCTTTAACAAATTTTGTGTCTACCAAATTGGGTTGGTTGGGGTGTAATACTAATAATAAGTGTTGCCTTTAATTTAATCAATAAAATAAATTGACTTCATTAATTTTTTTGAACCACCTCTTAAGAAAATCTAAAAAATATGAATGGAATGATAAATCACAAGTACAAACTCATCATATTTTTTGCATTTTAGATAGGATTTATTCAGCAAAATTTAAGGGTGACGTCATCAATTTTTTTAGGAGGGATGAACAAATACATTTTGAACAAAAGTTTACCATGCTTATAATAACTTTAAAATATTCCCAAGATTTCAAAGCATTAGGTTTTGTAATTCCTGATTAAATCGATAAAATAAATTGACGCCTTCATTAATTTTTTTGAGTCACCCTGCATATGCAAATCCAAAAATATGAATGGAATGATAAATCACAAGTACAGACTCATCATATTTTGTACATTTTAGATACGATTTATTCGGCAAACTTTTGAGCTGACGTCATCAGTTTTTTGTAGAAGATAACCAAATATATTTTGACTAAAAATTTATTATGCTCTTTATAACCTTAAAACATCTGCAAGATTTCAAAGCATTCGGTTTTGTAGTTCCTGATTAAATCAATAAAATAAATTTACGCATTCATTAATTTTTTTGAGTCACCCTGTATATGCAAATCCAAAAAATATGAATGGAGTGATAGATCACAAGTACAGACTCATCATATTTTGTACATTTTAGATATGATTTATTCCACAAACTTTTGAGCTGACGTCATCAAGTTTTTGGAGGGGATAAGCAAATATTTTTTGACTAAAGATTTATGATGCTCTTTATAGCCTTAAAACATCTGCAACATTTCAAAGCATTCTGGTTAGCAGATTAAAAATTAAATTTCAAAATGTTGTTTTATAATTTTGATTTTTTTTCCAAAAATCTGGACGTTTCGGGTGAAAAGTTGTAAACTACATGTGTAGGACTATGTTATTTTATACAATTGAAAACCCATTTACTATGTACAATTTTGAAGTGACGTCATCGCATTAGTGGTGGGGATGATTAGACAAATTTTGGTTAGCGTTTTACCATCTACATGATATTCTTAATATAAGTACAAAATTTCACAACAATCGGTCGAGTACTTTCGGAGATTATCTGTCTAATAAAATCCGGGGGCAGACGGACAGACGGACGGACAGACGGACGGACAGACGGACAGACAGACGGAAATGGGAGACCTATTTCTTCGTCTTCTAGGGGTCATGAAAGATCGAGAAAACGTAAAAGTAGAGAGTCGGCCGACGGACTCGATTACAATACTTTCTTTGCTTACGCTCGGGAAGTAAAAATGACATAACACGTCAAGGCACTCTACGTCATATTACTCCCACTGACCGCCAACCGACGTAAATACATAGTATCGAAATTGGTACTACGTTGAGCCGTTCTGCGGTCAGTGGCAGCACCACCTGGTCGTCCTTGCTGTCGGGACGCGCCACAGTGGAAACTCCACTGGCGTGCTAATCGTTAGTACCAGAAAAGAAGATACGTATAAACAAAAAAACCCACGACCCCAACGGTGAAACCAACTTGACCTTCCTATCGTCATTACCGCTTGAAACAACTTGTGAACGACAACGTAAATAAAACTCGTCATCAGAATGCAGTTTATAGTAAAAATTGTTCTTTTTTGTGCGACGGGTGAGTGACTTGTGACGAAAATAAATTATACTTTCTTAACGACAAAATTTGATTTTTACCTTTTTATTAGTAAAAGCTTTTGACTTCACCGAGTATTCACGCAAGAGAAACAAAAGGGCAACAGATCAGAACAATACGTAAGTTAGTTGATCGTAATAGGTTTGAATGCAGACTAACAAAATCGACGACTTCTCCAGTTGCACACTCCCACCGCATCCCGAGTTTGGCCGATGGCAGGTTTACGATCGCGATTCCTCTGAGTTTACTCCGGGACAAACGGTACCATCGCGAACAGTATTGGAAGTGACCTGTCAACACGATTACAGTCCAGATATTTCTGAGGCGTCTTCAACATGCATTCGTGGACAATGGAAACCCAGAATCGCGAGATGTTTCAGTAACTTTGACGATTAATTTAATGTTTTTTTTTAGACAAAAATTTTTAGAATCATGCAAGACCCTAACCAGTACTTGGCTTATGACAACAACTTGCAGCATTAATAGGATTCCGTTAGATTCTTGCGCTAATGCGGTCCACGGAACAGTCGCTGAGTTTCAGTGCGCTCCGTATTATGAAGTCGTTGGGGAAAAAGATCCATTCAGGTTGTGTTCTAACGGGAGTTGGGGTGGCAGTTTGCCGACGTGTGTTCCTGGTATGTAGGTATGCCTCGGTTAGGTATTTTTTTGTTTTTTCGTATCACCACTTTTTCACCTGATCAGCTCATTTTTTGTTTTATTTCGTTTACCAGTGGTTTCTTTAATGCTGGTCTTATTAGCGCGAAGCTCAAAGAGTGCGAGAAAATTTATTCATCAAAGAAATTCGTTTTCACGATCGTGGTTTAGGAGATTCTCTGTCTAATAAAAATTGACACAGACGCTGGACAGACAGACAGACAGACGGACAGACAGCCGGATGGAAACGGAAGGCCTAGTTTTCGCGGCGTAGGCGTCATGAAAGATCAAAATTGAAACTTTACACCGAATAAGCGGGTTTGTCACAATGCGGTGTAACTCATCATAGCTGACTTTTCGCCTAATGTTTAATAAAAAACTGATTTTGCTGAGTGTATTTCTAGTGTGTGGTAAACCTTACATTGACCGCACTTTAATCGTGGCGGGTTCTAAAACAAAAGTCGGAGATTATCCCTGGCAAGCAGCTCTGTACAGAGTAATCGATAAAGAATTGATCTGTGGAGGAAGTTTAATAAACGAAAGAGTTCTCTTAACTGGTACCATTAAATACTCACAACCGACACAACTCCCTAAAATGATAAAATTTCAGCGGCACACTGTGTAGCTGACGACGAAGGCAAGGAATACCCAGAACAACTGTACATGGTGGCCGTGGGAAAATATTACCGAGAATATAATCACACCGAAGACAAAAACGCCCAGTTTTGTTCGGTACTATTTAACTTTATGAAAGAGCGTCAAGTTAGTTGAATTTTTGTTTTTAGGTGCATAAGATATTTGTTCCGAGACAGTACAAAGCATCTGTTCAGAATTTCCGGGCTGATATCGCCCTCCTAGTAACAAACAACGCTTTCACTCTTTCCATTTACGTGCAGCCAGTGTGTATGGCATGGAAAACGAGCATCCACGAAATGCTGACGGACCCTGACAGAACGAAAGAGGCTTATGTACCTTAGTAGATTTGATTTAGTTGCGAGATCTTTTTTGTGTTTTCTGTAGGTCAGTGGCTGGGGTTATACTGTGGAATATAAAGACGTTTCCGCGGTTCTTAAACAATTGAAAGTACCAATTGTTAGCGAAGAAGAGTGCACCAAGAGATTAACTCCAGAAGATGCACAATTTTACACCGACGATAAGATATGTGCCGGCTACATAAATTCTAGTAGATATTTTGTAAGTAATGAATCCATGACAAGAGTGACTATTTGTAGGTCGTTCGGTGTGCAAAGGTGACAGTGGTGGCGGCTTAGTTACTTTGCACGAAGATCGTTATCACCTCATCGGAACTGTAAGTATTTCTCCGAGAGGAACCACCGAACATGGCGGCTGTGACAGTCAACACTACAGCCTGTACACCAAAGTTTCGGAATATTTAGACAATTTCATTCACCAACCAGAGGAACGATTTAGACCGTGAGTTCTCAAACTCGGAAACTCGTCGTACAATTTCTCTTTTAGAAATGCCACCTACAAGATAGATGCCAGTTGTGCCATTCCAGTTTTAAACGAATCATTCATAGCAACATTTCAGATTGTACCGCCCGGGTAAGCAAATCTAATAAATATCACAGAAAAAATTCTTTGCTCTTTTATTCTAAACAGTCACTGCGTTTTGCCTCAACATCCAGAGTTTGGAAACTGGAACGTTTATTACGGATTAGATGAATTTAAACCAGGACAATCAGTACCATCAGGTGTTATCTTAAGAATATCATGTGCCAGCAATTTTAAAGTAGTTGGCAACAGTCAACTAACTTGTGACGATGGAGAATGGTCAGACGACATTGGTCAATGTTCGAGTAGGTACATCGCGAACTTACACTGCACCTTGAATTTCTTGGTTTATTTTTGCAGAAATCTGTCCTTCGTTTGATACGCGAATTTGCTCTACCAATAACACGATAATCGAAGAGTGCAGACGAAGTGTCGAAGGTACCGTTACCAAGTTCCGATGTGCTCCATTTTATGAAGACACGCAACTAGAAACGAAACCCTTCCGAACTTGTAGTAACAGTACGTGGAGTAAAGAACAGCCTCATTGTCAACCAGGTAAACGTTGCACCTACAAAGAAGAAATTTAAGAAATGGTGGTTTCAGTTTGCGGAAAATTATCAATTTCAAGCATTAACTCGACTGTCGATGAGGCACTGATGCCAAGAAATTATCCTTGGCAAGTGGGTATATTCACTGAAGAATCAAACCGTCGATTCGTATTCACCGGATCACTTTTAAGTGAAAAAATTGTGATAACTGGTAAGTTTAAATTTTCATTGTAACTAAGATATAAAAAACTTGTTTTTGCAGTTGCACATTTTGTTACGGATGGCAACGGACGGCTAGGTCCAGCAGAAAATTTTATTGTGGGTGCTGGTATGATGTACATGTTATTAAATGATATCAACGAAACTTACGCTCAATATTCCAAGGTACTGTTTAGTGTTGAAGAATAATAACAACGAAGCAGTATTTTAGGTGGAGGCCGCGTATCTACCTGACCAGTTTAAACCATTTGAGTACCACTCCGATATTGCAATTTTGGTTCTAAGGAAAACATTTGTTTTTTCGTCGCATGTGCGGCCTATTTGTCTAGATGTCGAACAGAACTACAAGTTCGCCGAGAATCAAGAGCTTTATGTGAGATCTATAGTTCTTGTACATTGCGAATATTCTAATGTTTACTGTATGTTGATAGTATGAATTCTGGGCTACAGAGGACACGACTCTTGTGAATAAAGCAAGGGACAAGAAGATTTCTTCAGTGTCTCGGTCAACTTGTCAAGCTAATTCAATACAACGATATGGACACATTTTTGCAGCAGACAAATTGTGTGGTCGCCATTTTGCAGGTTCTAAATTAACTCGGTTCGTCCTGAATATGAAAATCAACCATATTTTTTTCAGATGCCGAATACAAAGGAATTGGTGTAATGCACAAACACAACGATACATATTATCTTGTGGGCGTTATTTCCTGGCTATTGGACAATCAATACAAAAATTTCTCAGTCGTAGTTTACACGGATATTTCAAAGCACATGGACTTTATTGTAAAAAAATTAAATTTATTTAGAGTATAGGAGATAGATTCAGTATTTTATGATGTTGATTATTTCCTTTCATTTTTGAAATATTGCATGAATTTGGAGACAGGATATTTTCCATTTTATTACTTTATTACGAGGTAAACCTGTACTTTTTCAGTAATTGTTTCGTCTGGAGTGAAAATAAATAAATAAAGCTTTTTCTTTAACATCTTGTATATGTAAAAAAAATATTTTCAACTTTTGTGATCCCACTTTAAAAAGTGACATAACACGTCAAGGCACTCTACGGGGTCCGTTAACTTGGCACCACCAAGTTAATGAATTTTACTCAAAAGCTAGCACCTCGTTGTTCTAACCTAGCACCAGCTAGCACCACCAATCAAAAAGCTAGCACCACCTAATTATTGAAATAAAAGCCTTTTACTTTCGGGGGGGGGGGCAAGTTAACGCTAGCCCTGCAATATAATTTAAAGACAATGAAAAGCTAGCACCTAATAGTTTAGAGCTAGCACCAACTAGCACCATTAGTCTTATAGCTAGCACCATTAAACAAACTAAATAAAATAATTGAAAAGCCCTGAAAAAATAACTCGCATCTATAATTCCCAATCGTGGCCGGAAATAAACTATCTTTGAAAATTAATACATTACAATCATCCATTACTTATAAAAAGTCATGTTTTCTGCATTGAACAGAACTTAATATCTACATTATCTACATATTTAATTAAATTACATCACTTGCGTTCAAATCGTTCTTCATTTATTTCAATACACTAAAAATTAGGCCATGATAAATGCGATCATTTAATTTTTTTCCACAGTCATACATTTGACTGACATTACGTAAATAACAAATTTGAAATAACAAGCGAGACTATAAAATTGAAGTCATTTGTAATTTATAAATCCGAGGTTAATGACGAAAACCTTTGTAAACTCTAAATTCCTAAAAATATTATTAAAACAACTTAAAATCCTAGAAACTTAACAGACAATGTGTCTAGAAGTCAAGTACAAATTATGAAGTTTCACTATCCGTAGTAATAATCCCTATTTTGGGGCAAGCGTCTATTCTTTAGTTTCGCGCTTAGTAATACTTCAGGTATACGGACAAAATACCATTTGTGAACAGTTTGGTGGGCCTTGTAGATCCCTACTACACTTATACAATGAATATTTGTTTGAATAACACGCTTTAGAAGCAGCTTATTTTCAAGTTAATGCAAATTCATTACTTATTACTAACAAACACATTATTCATTTTAATAAGAACTAATTTAGTTTTTTGTATCGATAGTGGTTTATTGGAGTTAGCACTTTAACCATAGTTCCTTTATTGCAAGTTTTATTACAAGTTTGTAAGGTAATAAAGAAGCTCTAACTTTGTTGTTGCGACGGTAATATTTTTATAAGATCGTAAAATTAGCATCATATTGTCCTGTAGTAGTCTTGTAGTGCAAACTGTCGTCGTCAAAACAGACTCTCCTTAATCAAGGAAACTGTAATTCTTCCATTAGTTCTACTCCGTGCCGATATACACGGTGAGTCTCTAAACGGGTGCTCCTCGATATCTCAAATAACTGTACAACCTTAGTGTTTGATTTTTTTTTCAATCACTAATAATAATAATATAATTAATGAGATAGTGAGCAGCGCGCGTTTAGTGATTCGGAATTGGAAAATGATACAGCCAACGAGCTGTGAATTTAAAAACCGGCTTTTTATTTCTAGTAGTCATAACTATGGATGGTTCTAATTAACATTAAAGTTCGTATTAGTTTTCAGAAAGGGATTGTGAAGACATGCTTCTTTCAGAGCGTAATCAGACATCTACTCCCTCAATGCCGGGTCGGATATCAGACACTGCATACTGTCGGTACTTTTCTACTATGACTATGGGACAGTAAATAAAATAAATAATTTCCAGAAAACATATATTGTAGGTAAATATTTAAAAATAAGTTCGACTTAACTGTAACTCCATTTTTTTCTTTTAAGTAAATATAGGGTCATTATTTTATCTGTTCACGCCTGAATCACAGTATAGATATCTATACTGTGCCTGAATACTTTGATGTAGGCAACATGTAATACACATCAGAAGCATCTTTGATCAATTTGTTAATCTTTTTAAACTAATAATAATTACAGCACAAAACAACAACACAAAAATCATACTATGTCATAAATGACAACAAAGATGTCGGACAACTAATAATGGAAAATTCAAACAAAATAGAACATAATTTATTCAATCCTTTGACGAATATAAAGAAAAGAAAATAAATAATATGTTTCTTAATAATAGGGTGGTATGGTTAAAACTGCCCGCCTTTTCTATCTTCACACAGCGCTATCCTGTGTTCAAAATTTCTACGTAGTCTATTTAGAATCTCGGATGTTAAATTAAGATCTGTACGACACCACACGATCCTTTTGCGCAAATGATCTTCATTTTGAATTGGAAGGGCTGAAGTGGTATGGATGAAATCAGTTTGCCCTCAGGACGTTAAAAACCGAACTCTGAGTAATCTGCATTTGTCTTCCGATCTGCTTTTGACTCACGTGAGAATTTTCTCTATAATTTCAAACAAGGCAGCTTCATTTTCTGGCATTGTTACTGTAAGATGCCTAACTTTAATTTTCTTAAATTGATCAACTTCTCTTAAGCTTTTTTCGAGTTTAATAAATGTTTGGTTAGAAGGAATTGTATCGCCTGGCATATAGATGAACGACAGCCTCAAAATTTCCATCACATTTTGCCAAAGTTAAAAGCATATTGGTTTTTTTCGGAATTCAAAAACGTTATTAGCAAAAGTTGAAAATAATTTGACCGCTACAGGGAATTTAAGAGGAAGTTATTTATGGAAAGTAAAATGTGTTGCCTATTCAGACTTATCCAGGTGTGAACAGATAAAATAATCACACTTTAACTTAGATTTGTTTTACGGCAGTTATAAAGTAATACAAATTTTTCTACTCCCACATAGTAATCCATGAATTACGAACTGTCTAGCCTCATAGTAAAACCATAGTTACACCCACTGGCATGTAATGAATGAACAGGCACGTAATATATATATATTACGTGCCTGTTTGGGTAGTTTCCATAGCAACTATAAATATTTGCTTTCCCAAAAAAAATTCTTCTGAAAGTGATTCTTCATTATAGATCGTAGAAAAAGTATATGACACAACTCTGGTGGTAAGCTAATTACGAACTCATATTACATCACTCGCTCGCTACGCTCGCTCGTGTGTAAACTTCGTTCGTAATTAGCTTCTTACCACCCTCGATATGTAATATACTATTATAACTAGTTCCAACTTGCTCATGTAATGTAATAGAGGTTACCACTTGAATAATACTTGTGATTTAAAAAAGAGATAGAAAGAAAACAGGAAAATACTGGGTACAGCATAACAAAAAAAAATGCACTTATAAAAACAACATTCGTGATTCCTTTATAAAACTATAATGTATAAAAAAAGCAACATGCAACATAATAAATGTCAAACATCTTCCAGTTTTCGTTGTGAAGAAATCCAGTAACACCGCATTAATTATAATTTTGATTTTTGTGGAAAATTTGTTTAAGAATATCCGGTAAACGTGACGTCAGTTCATTTGTGTGAGTATGTACACTTAATGGTTAGATTAATAAATATGGACTTTTAAATCTATAATTCCTTATAAATTTCTGGTTTTACATGAACCACATCATTGTTGTACAATATGTTGGTCCACATAATTTGTTAGTTAATATATATTAACTATGATATATGTTAGAAAATAATTTGCATTTTAACCAATAGACACTATATTTCGTCTATTTCGAAACTAAAGAATAGACGCTTGCCCCAAAATAGGGATTATTATTACGGATAGTAAAAATTCATAGTTTGTACTTGACTTCTAGACACAATTTTTGATAACTTTCTAGGATTTTAAATTATTTTAAAAATCTTTTTAGGAATTTAGCGTTTACAAAGGTTTTCGTCATTAACCTCGGATTTATAAATTACGAATGACTCAAATTTTATAGTCTCGCTTGTTATTTCAAATTTGTTATTTACGTAATGTCCGTCAAATGTATGACTGTGGAAAAAAATTAAATGATCGCATTTATCATGGCCTAATTTTTAGTGTGTTGAAATAAATGAAGAACGATTTGAATGCAAGTGATATAATTTAATTAAATATGTAGATAATGTAGATATTAAGTTCTGTTCAATGCAGAAAACATGACTTTTTATAAATAATGGATGATTGTAATGTATTAATTTTCAAAGATAGTTTATTTCCCGCCACGATTGGGAATTATAGATGCGAGTTATTTTTTCAGGGTTTTTCAATTATTTTATTTAGTTTGTTTAATGGTGCTAGCTATAAGACTAATGGTGCTAGTTGGTGCTAGTTCTAAACTATTAGGTGCTAGCTTTTCATTGTCTTTAAATTATATTGCGGGGGTAGCGTTAACTTAGCCCCCCCCGAAAATAACCCTTTATTACATGGCTTTATTGAATAAAAACGCACTTTTTTTAATGGATCCAGCGAGTGCTAGCTCTAGACTATTAACCTCCTGATTTTTACCATTAAAGAAAAAAAAGTGGGAGCTACTTTTTTTTTATTTTTAATTTTTTTTTAATACTTGCAGAGTGGTGTTAGCTATGAGACTAATGGTGCTAGCTGGTGCTAGGTCTAAACTACCTCGGACCAACTTTTCATGAGAATTAAATAATGTCGGGGGGCTAGCGTTAACTTGCCCCCCCCCCGAAAGTAAAAGGCTTTTATTTCAATAATTAGGTGGTGCTAGCTTTTTGATTGGTGGTGCTAGCTGGTGCTAGGTTAGAACAACGAGGTGCTAGCTTTTGAGTAAAATTCCCCACTCTACGTCATATTACTCCCACTGACCGCCAACCGGCGCGGCGTAAATACATAGTATCGAAATTGGTACTACGTTGAGCCGTTCTGCGGTCAGTGGCAGCACCACCTGGTCGTCCTTGCTGTCGGGACGCGCCAAGGTGGAAACTCCACTGGTGTGCTAATAGTACTAGAAGAGAAGATACGTAAGAAAGGATTTGGAAAAACCCACCACACAAACGGTAAAACCAACTTGACCTTCCTATTCCCATTATCGCTCGAGATAAGTTGTGAACGAAAACCTAAATAAAACACGTCGACTCATCAGAATGGAGTTTA